CACACACACACACACACTATGATACATATGGCACTTTATTATAATACGGCTGCGGAAGGGTGAATCGTCTCTACAGTTATAAACAAATAATAGTGAGAGCTGTTTTTTCCTGCTTTATATAGAAAATTTTATATTTATTTATTTATATTATATTTTATATATTCCCGTCAACATATTAGCCTACATGTGCTGCCATCCTGTGGTCAATCATACGACGTTTTTGAGAAGTAGGTCTGACTGTGGTCCTCTTTCCCCCTCCGGGCCGCGGGAGGGCGACAAAACAACATGCCAACAGGAAGACAGCCGAGGAAAGCTTGGTGAGACAGCTGACTGAAGCGCTATGTCAAGCTAGTAAAGAGTTACAGAAGCGATACCGGAAATGAGATGATTTTGTTTTCAAAATAAAATAAAAAGGGAACTCTATATGCACAGATTTGATAACAACAATATGGACTTTTCTACGTATTAATTTCATTTTCTCAAAAACATTGTTTACTGTCATCACTGTACCTGGTATTACTAACGAACTTTCCCTAATAATCATTTTAATTTAAAGTGCAACCGGAAATGCGCATTTTAATCTAGGTAACTTGACGTCAGAGGAAGTGTGTGACTAAACTGGCGATTACGGAAATAACTGCTTAGGCAGAATCAAATAAATAAAGGATTAATATCGAGCCGCCACCTGTGTAAGCCTGTAACACTGTCCACAATGTCCAGGCAATCCAACCGAACAACAGACAGCAAGAAGATGGTAGGCGACTCCCGCAGGATTAACATCAGACTAACCTGTGTAGCCTAGCTAGCAAAATGCTAACCGTAACAACCGGCCACATTGTACTTGTGCGAGCTGAGCTACTTGTCAGTCGTCTATCTCTGTCCGACAGTTGTGGCTAGATATATAGAAGGCGTGTGTACAAGTTGAATGAGTATTTCATTCATTGTTTAATGTGGCTGTCTTGGACGGGAAATGTAGGTCGTTGTAGCACACGAGCTAAATAGTTAGCCTCCGTAGCTGTAACATCCTCGCCCTTTCACTTTTAGACTCAGACAGTCTAAGTTTTAAGACAACTTACTAAAGGAAATCCCTCCTATGCAGTTACAACAAATGTGGCAGACATGCTGTGCAAATGTCTGTACAAATGGGTGGGAAAAAAAACAATATATAGCGTGAATTGAACTACTGAGCTGGACTGTCAGTCAAAGTCAGCTTTAGTGAAACAGTGAGCAGCTGAAGGAGTCAGTGTCTGTGTCAGGGCTCTGTTGTCATGTTCCGTTTATTTGTTGAATGGTTGGCATTGTAGTTCCACAGCTGCAGTGATAGATAAGATACACCTTGAGTGTGAATACTAATTCTAAAAAACCTTTTTTTTAATCATTTATTAAAACTCTATTTATGTATTCTGCTATATAAGACAGGATTTCAGCACCAGGAGTTGTCTATAGCCTGCACCTGTTTGCACGCTACATTTAAGGAATTGATTATTGGATGGCAAGTTAAGGTTGTTGTTGTTTTTAATCTGGCTTATGCCAAAATAATAATGTTTTATAAACTCGAGAAACAGTGTGATTGGCTACACTGCTTTGAAAAATTGCCGACCTTGCTGTCATTTTAACCCCAAACCCCCAGAGGCTCCTGACCACTTCTATATGTTATGTGTTTAATGTAGCCTTAAGGGTGGTTTAGTTATTTGAAATTTCAAATATGTTGGTTTTTAGACCAACCTTTTTTGATCATTCTATATTTGTATATAAAAGCTTGCTACCATGTGGTTGCTTCACTATAGATGTGTGTAAGCTTTTGATTATGATATTTTAAGGACTACCCCAAGAAGTTTTCTACATCTAACTCCCAGGATACGAGTTCGTCACCACATTACACTTAATTAACACTTACATTTCATACCCTTATTCTAGTGTTATGTATTTAATTTTGCACAATTAATATGAGACTTCTGTTGTTTGCTCTGTTGCAGAACTCTGAGCTGTTCACTCTGACGTATGGGGCCCTGGTCACCCAGCTCTGTAAAGACTACGAGAATGATGAGGAGGTCAACAAACAACTGGACAAGATGTAGGTATCCCTTTTTTCTACTGTCATGAGCAATGTTCACACCCAACTGTAGTTTAGAAACAGTGCAAAGAAGTGTGCTAAGACTTGCTGGTGTCCAACAAACAAACAAAAGTCATTTTTATCAACAAGAAAATTAGTTTTCTAATCACATAATTTATTTTGTTTTATTGATTGAATGGATCTTTTTAGTTTTCATCATAAAACTAGCTGTTAATTGTGTATGGCAGCGCAATTCGCTTTAATAAATACGGCGCCAAGCTGACGGAATATGTTTTTGTTATTGTACATAGAAATAAAATTATTAAAAGATGTAACCCTGCTTTCTGTGCATTAGATAGATGGTATAACACAGCTGCTTCAACATGTTAAAGTTTATCTTTTGCGTCTTTAACGAGAGAAGAGAAGCGATGTTTTTTATGGCCTCTTCTGTGTCTCCCTTTAACTCACACCTTCGCACTGCTCTGACACATTCCGCTGGCCTCTGTTCGTAATGTACCTGGGCTAAAGCTAAAGCAGAGAGATGACATAATCCACAAACACTTCTGTGTCAGAGGTTCCCCTTTACTCTTGTAATTTCTTACTCACGGCGCCTTTGAAGAAGAGCACACTGATATGTGTTTTTCTGAGTGAAAAAAACCTCTGGAAGGCGACGCGGGGATACAGTCCTCCCACAAAATAAGATTAAGAAAAATTGAAGGTTTTATAACTCAGAAATTCAAAACATCCTGTCACACTGACAGGCCTTTGGACTGGATGTACTTTGCTTTTGTGGTTGTGCGGCAACCCTAAGCCCTCTCCAAGCTAAGTCATGATGAGGCTTGTCTTACCTGGCCTTAGAAGGCAGTGAGTCTGCACTGCCCACTCTGCTAGTCGCTGGCCAGCTGGTCAGCGGCAGACCATGTTAGGATCAGGATGCATCAGTTGGCTTCAGATTCTGTCGTAAGAATAAATTGACTTAACCTTATAATCAGAATTATTAGCACTTGTCAAGCGTATGAACCCAAAAATGTGTTGTATTTGGAACTGACTTCTATCTCTTGACTGTTTTTTTTTTTTTTCCCCTCGGACTGACTTTGTCTTTCTCTCCTTCATAGGGGTTATAACATCGGAGTGCGTCTGATCGAGGACTTCCTGGCACGGTCCAGCATTGGCAGGTGTCAGGATTTCCGAGAAACAGCCGATGTCATTGCTAAGGTAATTGGAAGGTTCCAGGCCAATCAGAGCATGACCGTGGACTTCTCCCAAGATGAAGGGAGGGGGAAGGAGAAGGAGGGATGAGAGGAACAGAAAGATTAGAGAGCGATGTTGATGAAACATCCTGACAATAGATGGGGGAAGACGATAAATATGTTGGGAGGGGTTGGGGATAACTGATGGTTGTGACTGAGTAGGTTAGAAAGCCTTAAAGTCTCAGCTTGAGGCTAAAAAAGAAATGTAATCTCTTTCCTCGGAAAAGGTGATGATCATATTACTGTTGTGATGTGTTGTACTTCAGTTTTCCTCTGTCGCTCTCTTTAACTTGTCCATGTCATGCTTCACAAAAATTGGACTCCCCTTATAACTTACGGACAAACAGACGCAGGCAGACTCTGTTTCGGGTGTTTTCAAGGTTACTGCCTGCTTGCTGGGGGAGTCATTCCACAGACAGTAACCCCACACTAGCTCAGGGAACTGGCTCTTGTGGGACAGCGGTTTGGAAGGTGCAATGATAGCCTTGCCTGAGGATATCACATGACCTCTGGGTAAACTCTGAAACCACCTCATTTGTCAGTGAAGGTCAGTTGTTTGTTCGAAAACAGATTTTGTAGATCATGAATGGTTTTTGTGGAAGGCAAGACTTAATCATACCACTTCAGTTGTGGTGCTATAAACTAATATTCTTATTCCGGTGTTTCAAAAATGCTTTAAGGTTTTAAGGTTGACCTTTTTACATATTTAAAAGAAATCCTCCCATTGCCAGGGAATGTTTTCACCGTTGCGACTGCAATTTCACTAGCGAACTTTGTGCATGTGTGAGAGAGTATGCCGACCCTCCTGTGACACATCACAGGGACAAAGTGCTGCAGAGGAAATGAATCAACAATTATCAGAAATCAGGTGTGTGGAGATACTACTGTCAGTATGCCTGTGGTGAAAATGTAAGAGTTTCTGCACATGCTTCACAGTTAAAGCCTTCCAGTGAAGCCTTTTGATAATGGGCTTTACTGTGAAGCAGCTGCTGGATGAGGTGGAATTTGGCAAGAAATTAGCATAGTGCATGCAGTATATATGGTGATCACATGCATTTTCACCTAGTAAATAGTTATTGGTAATGGTAAAACTGACAGTTTAACACCTCTTTGTGTGTCTCTGCTGCTAATTGTATGTTTAGTATGAGCGTACTGTAACTAAAATCAGACTAAGTGAAAAACCTAACCTAAGTGTCACCAATGTAAACATGCAATGTGAGAAATTGATACTGTTTTCAGTTGAGTGATCGCGCAGTGTTTTCTTTTTTCTTTCGTTGCGGTTGCTGTTAGGTTGCTTTTAAGATGTACCTGGGAATCACCCCCAGTGTGACCAACTGGAGCCCAGCAGGAGATGAATTCTCCCTCATCCTCGAGAACAACCCACTGGTTGACTTTGTGGAGCTGCCGGATAACCACAGCACACTCATCTATTCCAACCTGCTGTGTGGGGTCCTCAGAGGAGCCCTGGAGATGGTAAGGTCAACACTCCGGGTGTATTTAATACTTTTGCTAAATTGATGGGTGTCATAGAATACAATTGTCGATTAGGATCCTGTGCAAATTTCA